GTTTAATGAACACAATTGATTTTTCTTACTTGCAAAATTCTGTCTGATTGACATTAAATAAGTCTCAAAGAATCATTGTAGGGCAGAAGTATCTTCAGAAAGCAACTTTTTGCAGTGACTTTTTGTCTGTCCTGTCATCTGAGAATCAATTTAGAATTTTTAAATATCCCCCAAATTTTCCCTGACTTGTAATATATTTCAAGATGTATTATGTTTTAATTTTTATCGCTGTTAAAAACCACCAAGGCCCCAACATTACTGGGGCCACTCTGAATTAAAGGGACAGTGGAAGCAAAAGTGCAGGTGAATCCATTTTTATGGAAAATAAAACCAAAACAAACAACTCTATTTCAGTTCCATTCATAGTGATTCTGATCTCCTAGGAAAGCAAAGAGCTCTAATACAAAAGACCTACAAAATTTCTCCACAAATCTGTCCAGACTGGAGATTTATGATAGAAGCAAGGAGATGCAATAAAGTGGTGTGGACTTTCTTTTCAGGATTCATTATTTATTACGAAAACAATACATTCATGGGATTCAAAAAGAAACCCAGCAGTAAAAGTCTGTCCAAAACTATCAACGTTTTCATACAGATTTCTCAAAAAATTTCAATGCATATACAAATGTATGTGTATATTCTTACTTTGCACAATGGGATTATGTCATACACAGTGTTTTTAGATTTGTTTTTCCTGAAAATTTTTATTTGAGAGATTTTTCCAAAACTTCACATGTGGGGCAACACTGGTGATTGGAAAGGCACCACACTTTTCACCTCGGGAAGAACAGTGCCTGAGATGACTCTAAGAGGGTGCGGAAGGCAGCTGGACAACTCGCTACTTGAGTCCTGCGCACATTTGGATTTTTATTTTTAGATATTTCCTAGTATGGAAATTATTGGTCAGAGGAAAAAAAAGAAGTGTATATGAGAGTGAGAGGCAAAAAACGTATGTGTGTACACCAGGAAAAGAAAAAAATTACATAAATATTTTAATATTAAATGTATTGAAACATTTTAATACAAATTACTTTTGGCCTCTCAGATTACAAGAGGTTGTCAAAGTGGTGGTCATTAGCTTCCAGATATTTATTGGTACGGCAAATTGTTGAAACTGGCCTATAAAGAGTTTGTATCAATTCATACCTCCATCAACAAAATACTCCTTTTCCCTTATGTCTGTGTTCAAACTCTGCTCAATTTTCTAATGGGTTATTCATCTTTTCTCTAAGTTAAAATGTATTTATATGTTAAATTAACTCCTTTATACCTACCCACAGATATTAATAACAGGTTTTAAAAAGTTTTCAATCATTTATTATTTTATTTTTCATTCATTCACTTATTTAGTACAGGGTCTCACTACATAGCTCACACTTGTAGTGATCTTCCTGTCTCAGCCCTCTCAGCACTGGGATTACAGGCATGCACCACCACACTGTTTTCAGTGTCCCACACTGCGCACTGAGGGTTCTGGGGCTGACAGGGCATGCAGTACCAGCGAAGGAACCCAGGGTCCTTGTGCTTGCCAGGCAGGCACTTAGACTGCCAAGCTATCTCCCCAGCCCCATACCCGTTGTTGTAAATCTGTTTCTTGGCTCCCTTTGTAATCTTCTTTCTTTGGATATTCAAATTTAATATTTCACTATAAATTCTCTAGATTTTGTGTCTTATTTAAAAAGGCTTGGCTTACTATTGAAACCAACTCACCAGTCAATAAATTACAAGATTTTCTCCTAGTGATGATGGCTTTAAGCCCCAACACTTCCAATTAATCTAATGAATGAAGTGGATTCCAAGTTTCTTCCATGCCTTCCCTTCCTCCTGGCTTCCCTCTCTCTCCTTTCCGAATGCCTACCTTATCTCAACTCAGGTAAAATCAACTTTTTCCTGCATTGTTGAAAGGCTTATTGTATCACTTCCTGAAAGCCTTAAAGCATTCAAGTATTTTTATTTACTTTAAGCCATTAATATAGGTGTTTTGCCCTCTACTGAGATGAAATTTCTTTAGCTTCTTTAGCTCTATAATAGATTTATGAAGCGCTAGGTCCCTTTGTTCATGTTTCAGGATTTGTTCCTTCATTACTAGTTTCACAGGATTGACGAACTTATACATTCATTTATAAATAGCACACATTGCAAAACTTTCCATCTTTCATATTTAAGAACAATACACATTTTTTATATACTCAAGCTATAGTTCTAATTTTTACGTTTGTTTGTTTGCTTGCTTGGAGTAGACTTTAAAAGTTTGCTTTATAAAGTTGGGAAGGTGCCTCAGTGGCAGAGTGTTTGCCTAGCGAGTGTGAGATCCTGCGCACACACACACAATGCATGTGCGCGCATGCATGCATACACACACACACACACACACACACACACTTATGCACCTATTCTTTTCTTTTTAAAATGCTGTATCTATATATATATTTGAATTTATATTAAAGTGATGCCATTTATTGCATTTTAATTTGAAGTGACTTATATTAAAAAGGTGTGTGATGTTTCAGCCATTTTTGTATATTCTCCATGATTTTAAGATTTTCCCTTCTGAGACTGCATACATTTTGCAGAGATACAAAATTATACCAGGTATCATTCATAATAACTTCCCACTTTTGTCATAATGTTTAACCTTTTTAATTATTTGTTTTCTAAGGACATGGTTAGTAGGTTAAAACAATACCAAATAATACCAGCGTCCATGGACATCTTCCATTTTCTCCTGATTAGAGGTAATACTTTCTTGTATGTAGTATGCAAGCATTAGTAGGGTTCCTGCCTTTCCCATAAAATTTCAGAAAAAAATGAAAGCTAACAACAACTATAGCACGTGGCTGCACAGCAGTGTCTCTGGAGAACCAAGCCAGTCCTTGGTCTCCCAAGTCCAACCTTACTTCCTGCTTATCTATCTTGAATTAGAAGATAAATGTTATACATTTAGCTTCCAGTAACTTTTAGAGGTATTTTTAATTATCGGTGTATGAAATACTGATTACTTTTGTGCAGAAACATAGAAAACCAATGTTTCATAGAAAGAAAATCTGTGGGGTGTGTGTGTGTGTGTGTGTGTGTGTGTGTGTGTGTGACAACGTACATTGCATTTGGCAGAAGGGCTGAATATCAGAGTTGTGTTTTAACATGTAACCCTAGTATTGGCATTCTCATTAATTTGGTAAAGAGAAGCCTATGTTGTGAGTCTTATTTAGCTTTCATGATATCTTTCTTTTCTTACCATTACATGTTTATGCCTCTGAAATTTTTACAAATAAATGAGCTGAAATTAATAAAACTAAATTCACTTGAGATTTTGGAGACATCTGTGTTCATGGGAAGAATATTATTTTAAGAGTATTTAGACCAAGAGACAGAGCAATTCTCTGAAAAAAGCTACCCTACAAGTGGACAGCCCCAGTTACTTCTGCATTGGCAGCTTAGTTGAAATGGACTCATGGATTCATCAGTTGACAAGAAATGGTGCAGAACTGCCCCCTGGGACCCTAGGACCACTTATATTTTATATATGTATATATTCCATGTAAGTCACCTCTTCCCAGTTCTCTCATAGTCTATTGCACTTCCTTATGTTCATCTCCTTGATACAGTACTTGCGTTGTTAGGGGGACGGAAGGTAAACCACCTTCACAGAGCAGATCTGTGCTCATCTTTGGTTAACTCCACACTTGGAGAAGGGAAAGTAACAAGCCTCAAGAGGCTTTGTGAATGATGAATGATGAATGATGAAATGTGAATGATTGAATGTGTTCGTTATGCACTACGAACACATACTAATAAAGACTAATAAAGAAACTAGCCTGCAAACCTTCATGGTGAAGTAATAATACTTAAGGTGTATGTCTTATAAAATCATCAATCTGGAAGGGATCTGAACATCTAAAGAATTATTCTTCCCGATGGAGAGAAAAAAAAATAAAATAAACACAAAGACAGTACTCTAGATTTCCAGTTTGAGAACTCTGGGAGATTCTGCTACTGTCTTACACTAAATTGCTATCCAGAATGCTTCCTATACCATCAGTCTAAGTCCTACAGGTCATTAATATCCACATGACTTCCTATGCATTTAATATTTTATTATTATTTACAGAATGATGAAATCAGAGGTTCTCACTCTAATGGAGTCAGCGAAAGGGACACACCCACAAGCAGATGTACCAGAGCCCTCTTCTGCTCCCAGACCTCACACATCCCTCCAGCACACAACTCCACATGCGATGAGAGTGAGGAAGCGAGAAGTACTTGGGCATGGAGGCTAGGGGTACAGGGTACTTTCAATCTATAAAATTTACAACTTTGTTGAGAAATATGGGGGAGGGGAGTAGTGAGCTAGCTCAGCAGACTAAAGCTCCTGCTTGGGCATGCACAGTGACCGGGTTTAGATCCTTAGCATGCCATGCCAGCCCCACCCCCGGCGTGTGCTGAGATGGCCACTGAGACTGGGCGTGGTGGTGCATGCCTGTAATCCTAGCACTTGGGAGGCTGAAAACAGGAGGATTGCTGTGAGTCTAATCTGTGTAATGAGATCCTGTATATCCTGTACTAAATACATAAAAAAAATGCAAGGGGCAATGTATATAGACTAACAGTTAGCAGTATATTCAATAAGCAAAATTGATTCTTAGCTGAATGTGCTCCCCAGATCTCAGGATATTTACAATTGATGACCATATAAGAATAATTCAAAGATATCTTTCACCAGACACTTAACATGCTGTGTTCAGTCTATTCCTTCATTTTTTTATCATCTTGAGTATGAATCATGTTTTAATTTCATGTAGACCAGCAGAAATCAAGTCAAGATTTGTGCATCATGTTTTACTCTGTAATGCTTGGGTTGAGATCACCAAATCCTAACTAAAAACCTTTTGCAAAAAGATAATAATGTCACTTCAGTTTCACTAACTGAAACAGCAGCATGACAACAGGGAGAAGTAATCGCTGAAGCTTGAACTTCAATCTAAATACCATGGAAGACTCACCAGAGGTCTCATCTACTCTCTCGTCTACGATGTGATCCTTCTGATGAACCCATTCGCTGTTGCACTTGAAGTATATTTGGGTGGCAGGGCTGGCTTTACAGTACAGGTTCACAGGCTTATTCTTTACAATATAAGCTTCTTCGGGCTCAATAAGGAAATGTGGCAGAGGTTCTGGTGGGTCAGATGGAAAAGTCTCTGGAAGTTCATGAAAAAAGTCATCATCTGGTAAAAAAAAAAAAGTAAAAAAATAGTCAGCACAATAACTTGCTTGTTACTTGCAATTCATTTCAAAATAATCATTTATAAATGAACTAATTGAGTGACTTGATTGTTATGTGTTAGGTCTACTGAGTAGTTGCTCAACTAAGGATCTGGATTATTACTATTCTTATTTCTACAAACACAAAAGTTGATCTAAAGTCACAGGCAGCACATAGCAAAACAGGAATAAAAACTCAAATCAGGTACTCAATAACGGTGACATCTATAATAATTACTATACTTCCCAAGATATAGTTATTCTTACTAGTTGAAAACGGCAAAGAAACAGCACTAGAGAATTTTTTTTTGAAAAGCACGAGACTAGTTGGTAAACTTTAAAGTTTTTGCAAGAAGTAGAAACACCAGGAAAGTAAATTAAAGATATTTATATTTGAATCTATTATTGTCAAAAGTTGCCAAATGTGTAACACTCAGTTATAGTATAGATAGGTAGATAGATATATTTGATTTCAGAATTACTTTAACAACTAGAAATACAGCAATGTCAATCAGTACTAGAGTCCTAGTAGGACTGAGGATGGAAGGCTGTTTGGTTTTGTTTTGAAGCTACATTTGCAATGTCACATGACTGACAAAACCTGTTCTCATTAGAATGTTATTGAAGATTATCACAAAGAACAACATAGTCATTTTCTTGGCACACAAAATTATCATGTATTCTGCTTTGACCCTGATGTTTCAACTCTACTGAATAAATTGAGCCTAAAAATCATTTGAGATTTATACACATGTATATTTTAAATTTGGATGCTGCATGATTCCAAATTTTTAAAAAATTATATAAGCCGTTTTGGTAAAAACCTCTATTATTCTTTTCAGAAGTCAAGGGAAAAAGAGCCTTTCAAATATAGTACAAAAAATAAACTTAGGGTTAGCCAACTAGCTCAGTGGATTAAAGCACCTGCAAGCAAGCACAGGGGCCAGGGGTTCAATCCTGGGCCTGCCATGCTGGCCCCACCCCCAGGGTACACTGAGACAGCAATTAAGACTGGGCATGGGGCACATGCCTGTAATCCCAGCACTTGGGAGGCTGTAAATAGGAGAATCACTACAAGTCCTATCTAGTAATGAGACCCTGAACACCTTGTAGACCCTTCCCTAAAAATACAAATAATAATAATAATAATAATAATAATAATAATAATAACCTCACCTTGCTATGAGGGATAGAGAAAGTATAGCCATTATTAATTCCATAAATATGCTAATATGCAGTGTTAAAACTCCCAGGTCAAACTTAAAACTTTTTACATAAGTTCTTTAAATGTACATATACATATTCAGTCACAAAGGTATGCAATTGGCACTTATTAACCGGTTTACTCAGATGCTGTCTTGAAACCTATCTCATTATTCATTCAGAAGTTGGTCCATTTTTGGAGACTTAGACATTGGCGAAGTGGACATCTGTCCACTAACTGTCTAATAGTGATGCCATGCAGACTCTGCCATTCTGTTCCTCAGTGCAAAGTGGCTTCACTTGTACTATGGACCAAAGCAGCCTTCAAAGCTGCTCCACAACCATCACATGTAAGTGATAACTCTTGCAGCTGTTTTTCTTTTTTTTTTTTTCTCACTTTACCTTTTCAATTCACGTTTTTTTCTAGAAGGACATCATTTCTAGTTTTTCCCCTTGTGCAACAACAAGGACCCAGATTATCAGCTTCCGAAAGCATAAAGTTGTTTCAATCAATTTCACTCCTTTAGTCAACATTCAAGAACGCATTGCTCAAATAAAGGCAGCTCAAGAAGGTAGAAGGAAGAGAAACTGCACTACCGACAGATCCATCATGACATAACTGAGGCCTGAAGGCTTTCTCCAATCTGTTTCCTTCTAAAGCGAGTATTATTGTATGTGATGATGGGCAGTGCTGATGATCAGTAAAGCCCCACAAAACATAAGGCCATCTTATTTTATTTATTTATTTATTTATTTATTTATTTATTTATTTATTGGCGGAACTGGGGATTGAACTCAGGCCCTTGTGCTTGCCAGGGAAACGCTTACTCCACTGAGCCATCTCCCTCAGCCCCCAAAATGGTTTTTTTGTTTCTTTTTTGGTACCGGAGATTGAACTCAGGACGCTGCACTTTCCAGGCAGGCACTTATTCTACTCAGCTATCTCTCTAGCAAGGCCAACTTCTACAGAAAATGATCTACTGTACTGAATCATCATCACCCCAAAGTTAAGTGAAGCAGAAAACTAGGTATCATTTTTCTTGTGGTGTGTTTCCATGTGCAAAAATATGTGAATGCAATTAACTATATACTTACTTCAACCTGTAAAGTATGAAAAGCCTCATTTTCAGCTATTAAGTGAAATTTGTTCCAGTTCCTTTAAAAAGAGTGACAAAGAGACACCAGGTGTTTTATTCAAAACTAGAGCATACATGCGTGCAGCTTCTATGCCAAGAGTTCCTAAAGATACTAAATATCGATTACCCTGACTTGCGCATGTCTGTGTAGTCTGATTATTTTGCCACACACTACTAAGACTATGGGAGATGAGCAAGCACACACACACTGTCAAATCCAAAGGACTCTAGTAAGTGCTGAGGTAAAAGTAATAATTCAATGATATGTTTTAAAAATGTAAGAGCAAGCTAACTTTGTATTTGTTTAGCTGAGTCTTAAGACAAAATGATCCCTACAAAGATAAACCTAGGATTTTAGGCTTCACATTTTTTTTTTTAATTTTTCAGGATACCTCTTAATACCTAAATAAAATTTAGCAAGAAATGATTTCGTTCATTACAAGTGCTTTAAAGTGTGCCTGAATTTGTCACAAAGAAACCCATTACTTTATTTAGCTGTAACACGCTAACAAAAAATGAAATGTTTTTTTTTTTTGTTCACCTTTCCAGTGTTGCTCTAGAAAGCTGTGTAGTTGGTTAGCACTGCTTATTAACAGTCAGACTGTAAAGTCCAGGCTAAGGCCTAGATGAAGTCATATTAATACGGCGTATCACTTCTAGCTCTATAATAGACATGACATTTGCAAAGAGAATTCAGGACCCAGAATAAGAACATATGTATGGTGGAATAAATACACCAAAATCCAGATGGACTGGTGATCAGTGGTCTCCTGGGCTATTGTGAAATTCTCGCCTTCTCCACTTGGAACACAGGATCGGGAGACTCTTCGCAAACAATGACGAGAAGATCTGTGCGGCACTCTAGGAGAACACTTTATTCACTTCTTGCTCTATGAAAATGCCACGTATTGGCAGCACTTTTCAGAACGTGGCATTTTAGAAATTTTGCCTTAAAAGTTTTCTACTGTATCTGTGTGTATTTAATGAGGGAAAAAAGTGATCCACGGAAAATGCCACACATTCCATATGGACATTTATCTGTTCTGGACTATGCATTTGCTTCTCACATAAATGGAGGGATTTAATTTTCAGCTATATCAAAGTTTGATGTAAGTATTACCAACTTTCCAAAACCCAGAAGTATATAACAAATATTCAACACTAGAGGGAAGACTGCCTGAAGGCAGGCCCAGTGTTGCTTTTCGTTTTCATTTTCCTAATTCTAGCATAGTATAAGGCATATCCTTGGAAGTCAAAAAAATATTATAAAAGCATTAATATTAATCTTATAATAGCAATGTTTATCATTTGTAAAATGTTCATGAGGTAGCTTGGCATTTATAGTACCTCAGAGTCATTTATAAATTGGAAATATCTTAACTATTATTATACTCACAAACAAGACTGGCTATCAAACTTCTACGAGCCAGTGAAAAATGAAAATTCAGGGACTCTTGTTAAAAATTTATTAAAATTTCTCAAATGGGGACAAAATAATGTTAAAACAAAGCATCGGTCCTATGGGACAGCGCAGGTCATCTAGCCCAATCTACACACCAGGAAATGAAGTATGTCACTTTATAAAAAGTCTGACAGGAAATGACCTCTTTATTGGTCGATATTTCTTTGAGAACGTATTTGGTGCTTCCAAGATTTTATTGTGATTGGATATGATCAAGAAGACAAGACACTTTTAGACTGAGAAACTCAGCCCCAGCTCGTTCTCTAAGTGTGCTTGCAGCGGGATGCAGGTGTGGTGAGTGTGGCGTCTACGCGGGACACTCCTGTGGCTGCACCCAGGGCTCACCAGGGCCCCCCCAGAGGCTGGTCCCTGTCGTGAAGACGCCACTTCCTTCCCAGCCACTAGAGAACCGTTCAGAGCACGGTGATAACATTAAAGTATCTACTTGATTGGAGAGACTATTTTATATGTAAACCACTATTCTGACGTTATTAAAGTCCTGCTGTAAAACTTGAAGCTATAAATGGACAATTTTGGGCTTTTTCTCTCCACAGAGAGATCGTTGAATGTGTCTTCTTACCACTTTCTTTCTTAATATAAATATCTCAAGTGGTGATACCAACATGATAATAGGAACTCAGTTTGTGAATTACAACTTCAGACAGTGAATTTATTTCTGACACCATGCTATAGTTATCTCAAATTGTTATATTTTATAAGAATGCTTTCCTTCCTGGCTGATATGAACTATATTTCTCTAGATGGACTAAATGAATTGAATAACAAAATTCTAAAAAGGTTTTCTACAAGTAGTTTCTTCAAATTAATGAGGTAGAATTTCCAAAGTTGCTTTATGTTCTCACACTGACTTCAGTATCAATTTTAAGTTATAATTGTCTCTTCTGACTTAGATGGAGCATTATTACTCATTTTTCTCCATTCTAACTTTTGCCTTAATTTTCTGCTTTCCACTATTACTCAACAATGGCATTCCAACAGTAGCGCGATTTTTATCTTAATATCCATAAATCTCTGTATTTCCTTTTCTCTTATCTTCCACAGGCATTTGCTTTTACATTTTTTATACAAGAAAAGAAAGCTTTGTAACATGTATAATTTTTATAGGCTTTCATTCCACCTAATTCTTGACAAGAAAATATTA